TGGATGAGACGTTTGAACGTAGTGGATGTGACGTTTGAACGTAGTGGATGTGACGTTTGAACGTAGTGGATGAGACGTTTGAACGTAGTGGATGAGACGTTTGAACGTAGTGGATGTGACGTTTGAACGTAGTGGATGTGACGTTTGAACGTAGTGGATCCAGATTTTAGACCTTTCATTTCTCTCTCTCCCCTCTTAGATCATTTTGTTGTTTTCCTGCTGCTCTTGTTTTCCGTCTCTGTTATGTGATCAGGGTTTTTGCTCTTTCTTGAGATTTTCATAAATTAATCTTTTAAGTCTTCCTACAGTCATCATGTGTTTGGATTTATCATAATCAAACATGACAGAATCCTTTTGCTGAAATTATTACCAACAATCTGTCCTTAAGAAAAATGTTTAAGTCATCTTTAGTTTGGGAAGTTTTTATTCACCAATTAAATCCTTCACTGTACTATACATCTAGTAACTTAAAATGTCAGGAACAAGAATTAGATGTAAAAGTGTCTAATTTTTGTTGATTCCTGGTTTAAAATAATATTTTCTACTGATTATCATATTGTAACCATTCATCAAATAAAGCAGCTAAGCTCCTGCACAACATTGTTACTCATTTAACTACAAGAAACAATTTTAGTTCATCATATTCTTGAAATAAAAAGCATCTTTGATTCAAGTTTGGCTGAAAATATAAACCATTTTGATCTACAGTGCATTATAAACATTATTAAAAAGATTTTAGCGGGTCAGTTTGTGTTTAGCATTGGCACTGAGACTCACGGGTGACGGAGAGGGCGATGACGGCCGCCGCCAGCAGAACGCTGAGAACCAGCAGAGCCGCTCGCTCTGCGGTGAGTCCAGGTTTTATCCGACATCTGGGTTGAGTTTTCCTCGTTTTGGTTGAATCAAATGGTTGAGAGTCTGAGGAGACGCCAAGACGGGGCTCATTATGTATAATAATAATAATAATATGCAGCTAAGAGTTGTAGAATATCAAAGCAATTCTTTCTCTACATTTTTCTGTCAGTTTTTGTTGCTGACAGAATCGTTGGAATAAACAGTTCCTATAGATTTATGATCTATTCCATGTTCACACTTTTAAATTACAAAGAGAGATGCTATTAACTTGGTAGCAACCAATATTCAATATTTTTTATGAATTACATGGATGTGCAAATTCTGACATTTTGCACATAATTAACAGGTTCAGTTGTGAAGTGAATCCACCTGTCAGTCTCCTGCTGTCTCTGTTTTATCTGCTGTTCACTGCCCTGCATTCATCAGCTTAAAGTACCTTCACTTATTTAATCACCTAATATTATTGAACATGGTTGTTCTACATGAGCAGTCCCAGTATTTTTCATTCTAGCTCAAACGGCGGCAGGCAGTTATAAAGAAACTAGAGAGTTATAAACTACAGCAAATGTTCAAAAACAACCCCAAAAATTAGTAATAAAGTGTAAAAAGTTTTGGGTATTAATAATTTCCCTCTTGTCTGAATCTTCTTCTGGGAAAACATTTAAAATGTTTGAAATTTTTGTTTTTTTTGCAGCATTCAAACCTTTATGAAAAAAAAGTTAAATGGAAAATACTCCTCTTTATGCTGAAATAAATAATATTTACAACCATTCTGTCACTAGAAGCAAATAAAATAAACTTCCGGCAGAAAGACTGGAAATATGTTAGTGTTTTTTTAGCAGAACACAGATTATTATTAATATATAATAAAATAATGACACTGTCTTCAGTTTTTTTCTTTTACACACTTAATTTTATTTTTTCTAGTTACCTTCTGTGAGTTTTCTCAGGCGCCTGACTTCAGAGTAAGTGACTTCGGGTAATAAACGATTATCAGCTGCATGTGAGACAGAAATCAGTCAGTTTGGGTCAACTTCTGACAAAATGTGACTTCTTAAACATTAAATCTACAAACAGATGAACTCACCTTTGACCTTGGATTTAGGCAGCTTCACATCGGCGTACGTTACCTCGGCAGCGGCCATGTTGGAGCTTTGGGCCTGACGGAGAAGTGAAGTTCAGAAGTTGGTGAAGTCTGGAGGATTGAGAGCGGAGAGGCGGCCAGTCGGGTCGGAGCGGAGACGCTGACTCAGCGGAGATGAAAGTTTGATCCGGTGTTAAAGGCAGGCTCAGCATCAGAGCTATAAATTACCTTTAGTGGTAAATGATATCAGTGATGATGATGTGGGCAGTGAAAGAACAGGAAGCAGCTCAGTTACCACAGATATGATGAAGTTTGCTAGCAAACAGGAAACAAAGTTTCCATTCCACCTTATTTAAGACGTATATTTACTCCCTCAGTACGTTCTTTACCTCATGTAAAATACTCAAGTAATGATTTTAGTTTTATGATTTCACAAAGCGTTTGTTCCAGCTAACAGAGGTTTGGGAAAATCATCTTTGTTTCCCCTTCACCATGTTAATATTCCTTAATAAAACTTTAAAATTTATTATGGCTGAGCAACAGAAAGACTTAAATCTCATTATCTGATGTTTCTTCTTGACTTTAGTCATGAAATTTGTTCCTGAGTTCTGAGGAACACGATGAGTCCAGGTTTATTTCAGCAACAAATTGTTTAATTGATAAAATAAACATAAAAAATGATGTTGCAGTGGCAAAATAAAGAAAACAAAATGCTGTAATCCAGACCAGCAGTAATCAATGTTCTGTCAAATCAAAAGCTAATCAGGAGTGTTTTCAGCCTCGGCTTAAAGGAGCTCAGTGTTTCGGCAGTTTTGTTGTTTTCTGGAAGCTGAATGCTGATTCTCCATGTTTGGTTCTGGGGATGCAGAACAGAACCAGAAGACCTGGGAGGTCTGGAAGGTTGCTATGACAACAGCAGATCTTTAATGTATTTATAGATTAACAAACATATTTTAAAGTCTCTTCTCTGACAGTGACAGATGTTGCTTTCATTATTTTACCAAACATCCAGCTGCAACCAGAATTTTACACACAGAAAATAAAAACAGTAACTGACCCACTGCATATTCATTACCAGGACTACGACTGTACCGTATTTAATAAAATGCCTCTTTGCCTGCATGTCGTCGCTGTATCACATGTATAGGAGAGTCAGTCAACAGCCCTGTGGTTAACCATGGGATGAGCTCAGCTAGTGGAAACAGACGATGAATTTCTCTCACACACTGAGATCTGTTGATTAAGACCCACAAGATTAAAGTCAAGTTTAAAATGTTTAAGAAGCTTATCAGCTGAAAGACGAGGCTGGATTGAAGGAAAATGTAGAGAAATGTCAGTAAATAGAAGCTGATAATGGGCAGAAACTGAGCACAGCTCCGTTAACAGGAAATGTAGCATAAACTAATAACTCTCCTTCCTCTGCTTTTAACTTTTTACTTCCTCATGTCTTTGTTTTTGTTTACACTCGTGTTTACATTCTGTTCTGTTGCAGAAATCGGCTCACACTGAGCCAGGTTCTGGTTCTGGTTCTGGTTCTGCTGGAGGTTTCTTCCTGTTAAAGGGGAGCTTTTCCTCTCCACTGTCGCTACATGCCTGCTCTGTATGCAGGGCTGCTGCGAAGTCAACAATGCAACTCAGTGACTGTTGCTAAGTTTTTGTCCAGGAGGAGAGAATGCTGCAACAGATCCAACCTGCCTGGTTTCCTTCTACAGAAACTTTTAAAGCTAATTTGAATAATTAACTGAGCTTAATGCACTGATCAGTAACTATGATTAACTGGACTGTACAGTGTGACTCATCTTAAGTTCATCTCATTTGTATCATTATCTAAGAACAGAATGCTCTTATTAATTGTTCTACATAAGACCTTTGAAATAAAAATTTCCTTTTCGTTTCAGAAAATCATAATCACAAAAAGCAAAGAAAACATTCTGATAAAGGTAGAGCAATTAAAAATAAATACAAAGTAATGCAACTGTCATTAAATGAAAATAATCATATAAATACAAATATATATATATATATATATATATATATATATATATATATATATATATATATATATTTGTATTTATATCTATGGGAATTTGTTGTATATCTGAATAAAACTTGAGATAAAACAATAAGGTTCAAAAACTGATTACAATAAAAAGTAATGATAAAGTTATATCCAAAATAAAACTCAATGCAAAAACTTGATGCTAAAAATTCATAGCAGTTATCACAACTCTTGAGGAAAAGTCGATGTTTATGTGTAACTGTTACTTTACAGCAGGGGTGTCCAAAGTGGGTCCTGGAGGCCCGGCATCCTGCATGTTTTAGCTCTCTCCCTGGTTTAACGCATCTGGATCAAATAACGGCTCATTAGAGGCCTAAGGAGAACATTGACCTGCTGAAAAGGTTGTTTCTACCACCAGGGAGAGAAGAACATGCAGGATGCCGGGCCTCCAGGACCCACTTTGGGGACCACTGCTCTATAGTCATCAGGAAGGCTGGGAATTCATCTTATTCAACTAATAAAAATCTATAACAGCTGATCCAAACAGATAACAGAAGAAAAGCAACAGTGAGATCAAAAGGAAAGCAAATCTGGTATAAAATTATTATGTATAGGAAATGCAATTAAAATCACACATGAATAAAACTGTTGAAGTCAATAAAACTCATGAAGACGTCGTCTCTGCTCTCATTAACCAGTTCTTTGAGATTTTTAAACAGACTGAAAAGACCTCAGACAAAAACACACGTATTTTTCTGGTTCAGTTTTTTCTCACAGATGCTTTTCTGCAGGTGATCACAGAATCGATCAAACCAACACTTCAGATCGCCGTCTCCTTTAAAGGATTCTGCTCAACAATCCTCTCAAGGCTGCAGTTATCCATGCAGCTGGTGCACTTTTTCCTTCCACTCAACCTTCTATGAATATCCTATAGCTCATACACAGATTGAATTTTGGATTTTCATTTTCTGTAAGCTCCAACCATCAACATTACAAGAGAAAAAGGCCTGGAATATTTCACAATAACAACTAAATATTTGAACTTTTTTCTGATATTCTCTTTGGGAGATGAGAGTAAAAATATAAGAACTCGACATACAAAATTGACCAGAGGAGGGCAGCAAGTCCATATTTGCTGTTTCAGATATTTTAAGGTGAAATGTAATGCTTAATGAGTAAGAAGGAAAGTAGAGACCTGAAGGCAGCTTACAGTTTGTCTTGATGGAAATGATCGAATCATCCTCCCTCTATGAAAAGAAAAGCCTCAGGAAGTCGATGTCATTCATTTTATTTGCAGACTATTTCATCTCAGATACAACATTTCTACATTTAGATCTAATAAACATCTAAAACTGTTTCCAGAGATCAAAAAGACAAATTAATGAACCAGATATCTTCCAGATTCATCCTAGACGCCCATGAACCATTTAGAAACAGAAACATCACTTCAAACGAAAACTGGTGTTTTAAAAATGACCTCAGCCTGTAATTATAGATAAGTTAACAGAGTGAAGAATAAAACGGAAACATGAAAAGGGCAGATGACATCGCTATAGCAACACATTGTTTTTAGCTGTAAGGCTATATGTTGTTCTTTAAAAAATAACCATTTCAAGAAGGAAACATCTTAGCTTTTAAAAGTCTAAATGTAAAAACAGGAAGTGGAGGAAGGAGCGTATTAATCTGATGCACAACAGGAAACAAACTTCCTGTTTGCTGTTGGCCAGTCGAGGCTTTTACAGCTTATACAGCCAATAATAATAATGAGTTTAACATTAAAACAAATCAAGGAAAAATAATTTTGATGGAAAATTTAAAGAGTATGTTAACATTTTAAGGAATAAATGTTAAATGTGACAACATGTTTATAAAACCTTCATCTCTGCAGCTTCTTGATCTTAAACTTCAAACACTTGAACTCAGTTTAGCTGTTTTCTCACAGATACTTTTCTGAGGACGTTTACAGGACGTATCAAACCAGGACTTCAGATCATCAGATCCTCCTTTCTTTTCTTTCTTTCCCATCCTCACACAGTCAGCTTCAGCTTCAGCTGAATGAGCAGGACTCTTGTTGTCAGGTTGGGTCTGATTCCAAAAACTCAAACTTTGAGAGAAACACAAAGAAAATAACAGATAAAGACACAGAGAAAAATTCAAACAGAGACGTTTTATCATCAATCAAACCTTTGATCCAGAGCTGATCCGTCCATCCAGAGCCATTTTCCTTCTTCCTTTGAGTCTGTCAGTCCGATCCAGAACTTATCCTGATTATCCTTCATTAAGTCTCTCACTCTTCCTATGAGGAACACCTGAACAGGAAAAGTTGTTAAAAATGAGATTTTTCTGAATCCTGATGCTGAGATGAAACCAGAGAGAAGCTGAACCTGCAGCAGAGTTTCATACCTGCTCCTCTCTGCTGTCGATCTTCACCAGGTCTGATCCCAGATCAGCGCAGGAACGTCTGCTGTCAGTCCAGGAGGATTTACTGGTGTTGAAATAATAAAGACTTCCTCCATGTTTCTCCCATCCTGCTTCACATGTCAGATCTTCAAAGACAAAACCTTCAATGAACCAGGAGGAATAAATCTCTGTAGATATTTGTGTGGTTTGGAGACAGCAGGAGGCGTCTTCTGTCCTGCAGCTACAATTTAACTTCCTGTCTCTGTCAGTCCATCAATGTCTCTTTAACATCATTACAGGACAGAAATGAGACAAAGATCAGATCATGGACTTACTTTTTGCTTCAGGAGGTGGAGGACATGTTGGCTGCTTAGATTCTTTTTTGAAAAGAGAATAAAGTGTAAAACTTCAGACAGACTCAAATCATTTTTTATTATTGGATGATGAGCAGAAACACATTCTAACCTCAGCAAACTGTTAAATTATATTATGCTGAAAACTTCCAAACTGTTGAGATTTTTTCTAAAAAATCCTATGAGCCATTCAGTATGGTTTATTCATATGGTGCTAAATAACAACAAATGTCATTTAAAGGCACATTACTAGAGCACCAGATCAAATGAATCTGTGGACACAGCAGTGCATGGTGGGTAGTCTCATTCAAACTGCCAACTTAAGGTGCTTTAGGGAAATTACCTCACCAGACAAGGATTCAGCTGAACACTGAAGGGTTTTATTTCCAGCTGCATCACAGATCACAACAAAGAATCTTGGGGAACTGTTTGAATCATAGAAGACTTCCTATCGATCTTTAGATTTAGTCTCTTCTACAGTCCATTATTGCACATTATTGGCATTCCCCAACATATGGCTCTAACTTTCAGGTCAGGTTTGTTTCCATAAAAACATTTTCCATATCTGGTCTTCCTTAGCTCATGACACAGCCGGCTCTGAACTGAGTCTGGGGTCCGTACCATTACTTATTTACTATCATCAGTGTAAGACTCCAGCTCAGAAATACTGCAAGTGTTTCTGCTGTTAGACACTAAGGCCTTCAGACTCTGAGCCACCTGAGAGATTTCTTCTCAGAGCTTCATTCTCCTCTTTCAGGGTTTTGACGGTTTGATTTGTTTGTATTTGATAAAAAGCTGATTGGAGGAGAAAATAATAAATAATGAAGTTACATAAAAATGATCATGTTAATTTAAAACTCACAATTTGGACACAATTTTTGTCTAATAAACTAAAATCCAGTGAGAATAAACCATCATCAGGATGAACTCACAGAGTCTGCAGATGACGATGAGAGCAGCAGCCAGCAGACCGACCAGAACCAGCAGAACTACTCCCCCTGCTGGCAGCTTGGAGGTTCTGCTTGGGTTTTCACCTGAGGAGCATTTAGAGCAGAACCGGATCAGAACCTGGAGCAGAACACGTTTTTACAACTTGTTTTAAATGTTCTAAAATTATTTTAAGACGTTTTTCTTTTTAGAAGAGGAAATTACATCATATTATCAGAGCTGATAATGATGGTGAAAAGAATAATGATGTTTTGCTTCACGTGTGGCATCAGTCTTACTTAAAACTGTTTCTCTCAGTTAAAGTGATTTTTTTCTTCTCACCTTCACCAAATGTTTCTCCAAGGTGATCATGAAGTTTCTTTAGACTTTGTAAAAACAGACTTTATAGATCACAGCTTTTATGCTCGTAGCATTAAAAACTACAACCAAAAATAAATATGACGTATGATTAACTTTGTTTCACTTCTTTATTTTCCGTGGCTGCACTTTAACTTTAAACACTTGATGATGTCTTTGATTCCTATTATTACTTACTGTTTCCTTCTTTTTCTGAGAAACAAGAACATCTCAGTCTTTATTTACTTGTATTTGAACTTTACTTGATCTGATCCTGCAGTAGATGGGTCATTTAGTTTCAGACACAGCTGTTTTCTTTCAGTTCAGATGTTAAATGATGTGTCTAAAGGCAGTTTGTGTTCAGTCTGGTTGATGTTTGTCTGATGAAGACCACTCACCTCTGGCTGCAGCTTCTTCATCACCTTCCTGCTGGTTTACCTCCATATTTATCTTCTTACCTTCTTCACAGCTCTGTGGACGGCTCATCATGGAGACGCTTCACAATAAGGAAAACTCTGACAAAGACACACATATGTTTTATAAGCGCTTAAAGCCAATCTTACTTTTTTTCAATAAACTGTCCTGATTAAAGAGTTAAATTACTGACCAAAAACTCAGAATATTAGATCCACAATTAATTATCTTGATATTTCTCCTGGATTTGATTTCAAATTCATCTAAACGACAGTTAGTTTAAATTTAACATAAATATCTGCAATTTTCCAGTTTAAGGAAAACAAACATTTCATTTGCTCCGTTTACAGTTCAGTTCAGAAATGTTTGCATCTCCTCTGATGTTCTTTTCATATTCACTGGACAGAAAATGATCTGGACTCACCACCACTGTGTCCTCTCGCTACTGCAGACTCCTTGGACTAAAACGCTGCTCGAAAACTTCCTTTTTCACAGCTTTGTGTTGAAGAAACTTCCTGTTAAACTTGAACGATCATAAAGAGGCTTCAACGGTTTACGTCATTATTCTTTTTGATAATTGTCATTGTTTTGTATTAACATCGTCATAGGTCTTGACTAGATGCCAACTGAGACTATAAAGGTTTTCAGGTGATTGATATGATGGTATATCTGAAGTATGACATCACTTCCTCTGGTTCACTGATTGAGTCTGTTTGCTTTCTAACTGAAGCGGACTATGTGTGGAAGTATTTCTGTTTAAACTGGACCAAACAGTTCTGGTGTGACGTCGCCTTTAGGTTCTTTAGTTACAGTCTGAGATAACTATTGAAGGAAAAAGTGCAAACATTGAACTTTAACCTACCTTCTACTTTTTACCTATTTCTTGGTCCTTGACATTACATTTGAAATGTTTATCAAAAATCTAATTTAAATTTTACTCAAATGTTTAGCTTTTTTTTTCAGGTCTAAAATTAACATTTTTCCATTTGATTTTTAAATAATTAAAACTATTTGGGCTGCGCAGTGGCTCAGTTGGTAGTGCTGTTGCCTTGCAGCAGTAAGGTCCTGGGTTTGAATCCCGGCCCGGGTCTTTCTGGTTTGCATGACAGGTTTTCTCCAGGTACTCCAGCTTCCTCCCAAAAACTTCACTGTCAGGTTGATAATCTGTCTACATTCTTCATGTGTGTGTGTGTATATGGTTGTCTGTCTCCATACTGCCCTGCCTCTCCCCCTTTGACCATTGGAGATGGACACCAGCACCCCTAGTGGCCACACATGGGAGGTGTAAGAAGATGGATGGATAGTGAACTTATGACCTTTTCCATCTGAGGGAAAAATAAAGCTAACAGATGATTTAAAAATGCTCATAATTCGTTGTTGCTCATAATAATGAAGTTGCAAATAAAACTTTGATAAAAATTTAGTATTTTATCTTTTGTGTTTATTTCATTGATTTTTTTTTTTTTTACATTTTCTTCATAAAACCAACTTGATCCTGAGCTCTGATCGTGTTTAGACTCAGCTGAACTTCAGACACATGACTGAGTTCCTGCTGCTTGTTCACAGATACTTTTCTGCGGATCGTCGCAGGACGTATCGAACCAGGAATCATCAGAGCCGCCTCTCTCTCCCATCCGCACACAGTTGGCTGCCTTAAGGCTGCCTCTGCTCCAGTTGTCTGGTTGGTGCCAACCCCAAAAGCTCAGACTACATCACGAAAAACAGAAACACAAAGTTAAACAAGTCCCACCGTTTCATTTCTTAAATAATTCCTTAGCAATGAAACCTTTTGTCCAGCCGTGATCCGTCCACCCACAAGAATCTGCCTTCTAGTTCTGAGTCCGTCAGTCCGATCCAGAACCGGTCCTCACCGTCCTCCATCAACGCTCTCAGTCTGACCCCCAGGAACATCTGGACAGGAGAAGTTGATGAAAATGACTCTGAGGTCAGGGCCGGCCCAACACTTTTCAGGGCCATAGGCAGATTTTTATATGTGGGCCCCCCATAACCTCATGGCGACACCAGATACTTTATCATTCTTAAGCTACTCTATTTGTGTAACATCTACCATTAGCATGTTTTGTAACTATGTCATAGCAGTGTAGTTACGGCTATTGATTTTGACTTTACAGGAGTAACAAACTAAAAAAAAATTGGATTTTGAAATGCAGACAGGCCGTTTTATTTTAACTGCTTGAAGGACAATTGTTAAAATTACAGTAAACAAGACAATAAGTTTGATATCCTATATTTCCTCAACACTGACAGCAGGAAGAGATTAACCATTATTTCTGCCACAACTATGGAAACAATATGTACATTGTTTTTCCATTTAGTTGATATTATTAAATGTTATTTTAAATATATCTATAGATGGTGCTCTTGGGGGCCCCCTGGTGGTGTGGGTGCCCTAAGCAGCCACTTAGCTCACATGTGCCTTGGGCCGGCCCTGGCTGAGATGAATAAACCTGATGATGAGATGAAATCAGAGAGAAGCTGAACTGCAGCAGTTTCATACCTGCTCCTCTCTGCTGTCGATCTTCACCAGGTCTGATCCCTGATGCTGGCAGACATGTCTGCTCTCAGTCCAGGTTGATCTCACGGTGTTGAAAGAATAACATTTCCCTCCATGTTGCTCCCATCCTGCCTCACACTTCAGACAGGTTTCCTCTGCAAACAGAACGAAGTCTTCAGTGAATCAGGAGGAAGAAATCTCTGTGCTACTTTACAATAATGCTCCCCTACATTCACAGATATGTTGTTAATTTATCTCTAAACATTTTATAAATCATTAACTGTTTATTATGTATTAATTAAGAGTGAGAAGGAGGAGAAAATCTCTAAGTTTCTTGCCAAATAGTGAGCCAAGTCTGTTCACCTCCCTATTTTATTTAGAGCTGTTGTACTAAACATTTCAGATTACATTGTAAGCATAACAAAACATTTTTTTTCAGCATATAGTGTCTTTCTCACCTTTAATTAATGCATAATAAACAGTTATTAATCATTTATTAAGTGTTTGTAGAGGAATGCATAACTTATCTGTAACCTACCTGTTCATGCTTAATAAACTATTAGGCCTTATACAAATTATT